CCCGTTGCGGAGCACAGGCTCCGGACGCGCAGGCTCAGCGGCCATGGCTCACGGGCCCAGCCGCTCTGCGGAACGTGGGATCATCCCAGACCGGGGCACGAACCCGTGTCCCCTGCATCGGCAGGCAGACTCTCAACCACTGCGCCACCAGGGAAACCCCAAGGAGTAAATTTTATATAAGATGAGTAAAGTTATAAATGAGGAAAAGCTTTACTGAGCAGTTTTCTGAATTAATTTGGATGCCAGGCAGAGATTCTGGTGGTGATGCTTTGTTCTTCCTAGAACTTTTTTCCCATATCTCCAAGTTTCCTTGCCTCCGCCCTCCAAGGTCAGCCCTTTCCCACCCCACCTGGGTTACTCTAGTACTCGGGAGTGCTGCCCTGGAGCCCCCCTGAGGGACTTGGCTCTTCAGGCCTTCAGTTCACCCTCAATAGGTCAGCCCTGCACCCTCTCCGTATACCTCCCCTGTAGTTTAGAGCTTCTCCTTGGTTTGTGTGGGACTGAGTCACTAGCTAATCCTTGAAGTTAGTGACAGTTTTCATTAGTGCTCTCTTCTTCATCTGTGGTTTTAAGCTGTCATATCATCTCAGTGTGCCCAGTAACCACCTGACCTCGATGGCAGACTCATTCTCTGTGCTTCAGAGAATTTCTCTGTCACTGGTATTTGTTTTCTATGTGTGGTACTCCTCCAGCTGAGAGCTCTTTGGAAGAGCAGAGATGACAGACATGGCCTGAGCCCAAACAGATCACCCCCAACTGTGATTCCAAGACGGAGGGGGGGGAACCATCTTTCTATTCCCTGGTCCTAATGGGGTTCCTGGATTTCCAGAGGTTAAAGAAAAGAGCAGATCATGGAAACTCTAGGAGTCAGAAAAATAATAAAGTGCATTTTTGTAGGTGTGGTTTTGTTGTTGTTGTGTTGTTGTTGTTTTACCTGCCACTCTGCATCTCTCAGGCCCTTAAGTTGCGGGACTAAAGCAAAATTCTGTGAGTATGACCTTTGTGTCACCATATTTGGGTGCTTAAATCCCCAAGGAGTACCTCTCTTTTTTTTCACTGAAGAATTAGTAATTATCTCTCAAGGTGGACTCTAATTTATTCAGTTTCTCTTTAGAGGCTTGAAATACTGGCTTCTCATCAGCTGGCAAATTAAGGGTGGGCGGGGGGCTGCCTTTTCTTTCTCCTCTTTCTCTTGTATCTGTTTCCTCTCTTGATAAAATATAAACTTCTCCTTTAGACCAAACCCCCTTTGCCTTTTGCGTTTATCCTGTTCCCTGCCTCCTCTTTTTATTCCTCTGCTCCCTCTGTCTTCTTCTGTCTTATTCTTTCCTTTTTCCCCTTTTCTTTTTTCTCTGTACCTTTGTTCTCATCTTGCTTTCACCTCCTCCCCTCTCTGCTGTCTCCTCTTAACAGCTCTGTGAGTGTGTACTAAAGAATGAAAAGGAGATAAATTCTGAAGTGATTAAAAAAAATGACATTGTTGGGCTTTACTGGTGGCGCAGTGGTTGAGAGTCCGCCTGCCGATGCAGGGGACACGGGTTCGTGCCCCGGTCCGGGAAGATCCCACGTGCCGCGGAGCGGCTGGGCCCGTGAGCCATGGCCGCTGAGCCCGCGCGTCCGGAGCCTGTGCTCCGCAACGGGAGAGGCCACAGCAGTGAGAGGCCCGCGTACCGCAAAAAAAAAAAAATGACATTGTTGAATGGCTGGTCATCTCTCAATCCCTCTTCCCTTTCTAATTCCAGAGCTCTTCGGTATCCCCGTCAGCCAGTTTCCGAGGTGCTGAGAAGCACAGAAACTCCACAGACTACTCCTCTGATAGCAAAAAGCAGAAAACTGAAGAAAAGGAGATCGCAGCTCGTTACGTAGGTTCACTCACCTTTGCAGTTTACCTTGGGGGAGGCAGTTTACCTTGCTTTTTAATCAGCGGGCCTTTTACCCTCTTACTATTACCAACCAAAACTAGAACACAAGATAACGACATCCTAGGAGAGAAAAATAATTATTGCAGTTCTAGCGGTGTCTCAAGTGGCTGGCTGAAGGTCTGTGTTTGCAAGTGAGTGCACATGTGTCTGTGAGCCGCAGAACAGTCCTTTATCCTGCAACCGATAGAAGACTTGTGTTCCATATTATTTCTGTTAGATGTATTTGCTTCCCTCCATAAATTTCAAGGTGGTCGAATTTTCTGTGGCCAGCTAGAAATGTTACGGAATAAGGTAAAATCACAGACAACCTGTTAAAATGTCTAGATGACCTCCTGTGCCGAGGAATGTAGCACGTTTTGTGGAATATAACTTGCAGAAACATCCAGATGTATCCCTGGCCTGAGTTGAAGCTCATTTTCCTTTGGTGGCTGGTTCTTCAGATCACACAGTGAAGGGAGCAAGTGGGATGGGACTCACTGGTGTGGAGGCAGGCTGACTCCACCCTGCTTCCTCTGGTGGTGCCCTGCAAGACTGCAGGCCTCGAAAGAAGCTGAGAACTTGAAATTTCATGTGAAAACTCCCAGTTTAAAAATTGTGGCTCTTTATCCGGTCTTTGAAAGACACTGACAGAACAAATCCCACCCTTCTGTAGGCTGGATTATGTAGCGTGGGCCTGCCAGTTGGCACCTGATACTAGAGTAATAAGCCATAAACTTCAGTTTTTTAAACTACAGTGGAATCATCCTGTTTCCTATTACCTACCTCATAACATCGTCATGAAGATTAAAGAACACAGTTCACTGTAGAGTGTTTAGCACTGTTTGGTGCAGTTCATTTTTATAAAATGTGAGGAGTTAATGACTCTGGACTTACCTAGGGTAAATCTGGCTGCCTTTTTTGTTTGTTTGTTTTTCTTTTTTTGGCTGGGGGAGGAGATAATGCTTCTCAATTGTCAATGCAGGACAGCGATGGCGAGAAGAGTGATGACAACTTGGTGGTTGACGTTTCCAATGAGGTATGTTTGTGGCTTATTTGGCTTCCTGCTCTTAACCAGTTATAACAATGATTAGTGTCCCAACAACTAGTATCCACAGTGTTTCCTTAATTTCTGAAGGGGCCCACGTTTTATTTACCTGAAAACTTTATATTACTGATCCTTTTTTATTGCTCCTCTACTCTATGAAGTGCAAATGTGTTGTTACCACCATGAATGCACACACCTTGGCAAGTGACCTGCAAATTTGTAGAGTTTTGATTTTTGTTTCTGTTTTAAATAAGTACTATAAATTTTGTAGTATTTTCATTGACCTCTATACTGAATATTTTCTTCAGCAATTTGATGAATCTTACGATCTATTCCAGAACATTTTTTGCTTCTAAGCTGTTGAAGACTTTTGGCTAGAAACGTCCACACCAAGTGCTCTGGCACTGTGAATGCACTGTGCTGCATTTGATACCCTTGATGTTCCTTTGTAGGATCCATCCTCACCTCGAGGGAGCCCTGCACATTCCCCAAGAGAGAATGGTCTGGACAAGACACGCCTTCTCAAGAAAGATGCCCCCATCAGTCCAGCCTCGATCGCATCCTCCAGCAGTACTCCTTCCTCCAAATCCAAAGAACTTAGCCTTGTAAGCAGTTCCTCACCATCTTTCTTAGCGTTGCCCGTTTCCAGATGGTTAGGTTAAATTATTTTTAAAATTTTGTATTTTCCACATTTTTCCATAGGACTTTTACCACCAAGCATATGTGTACGTTCAGTATTCAAGTTGAATTGACAAAAGTACTTTTGGAACAGAGCGGGTTCACTGACTTTGTTGGTGATGGATGTTTGGTTTGTGAATCGTTTTTGCAAGGATAGGGGAGGGACATGAGGAAATTGAGTGAAACGAGTCTCAGCGAAGATGAAGAAATATATACTGGGGTTACAGAGATGGTTTTGTCACCTATGGTTTATGGTAAATTTAGTTTTTGGCTTGGATGTGATTTTGTTGCTAGCTTTGTTGGAATTACCAAGCTATATATGATTGCAATAATTTTCCCTTCCTGTCTAAAAAGTAATCTGTCATTTATAAAAGTCTACCTTGACTCACACCACAAATCAGAAATGCACAGATAAAACTGCTTTGCAAGTCAGGGTAATCTCCCCATACCCCCTTCTCTGTGGCTGTGTAGTTAATTGCATTTTTATGTAGTGTGCCTTCCTTTTTCTTCACCAGTTGTGTCCTTGTAACATAGCATTAAAAAAAAAAAAAAAAAAAAAAAAAAAAAAAAAAAGACGAATTCCGTTTTCAAATAACCTTTTGAATTCACAGCTGAGGGAAAGAAAATTCCTCAGTTTGTCTGCAGTTTTGGAGAATGTGTCTGGCACAGGGCTAGATAAAGTTTTTTTCTGTTGTTTTCTCTTGGCCTTCCGGCCTTGTAATGGCAGCTCCTCTGTGCTGATCTCTTGTGATGATTCAGGCTTGGATCTTTTTTAATGGGACCTGTTAACCAGGGGAGCCTCTTGTGGCACGAACAATCCATCAGGAACCCAACTCAAACCACTCAGTATTAAAGCAACCAGCAAGTGGCCAGTCACATCGGGACGTCCTGATTTATCAGCGTCTGTCTAACTCGGACCACTTTCCTGGAAATGGTCCACTCTGCCCCAAGTTCAGCTTTGATTTATGTCCTCCTGAACATTGGTTTTGTGGTCTCAGGAAGCACTTTTTGTTTCTTTGATAGCTCTTTTTAACTAATGAAAAGAGAGGCCCATGCTAAAGAATCTTTTCCATTTCTTTTTCCTTTTCTTTTACTCTACCTTTTCAAATGTTTAGCATAATTGTTAAAATTGTGTTCTAACTAGCAGTGTATGTTCCATGACATCTCTTGTTAGAATGAAAAATCTACCACTCCTGTGTCGAAGTCCAATACCCCTACTCCACGAAGCGATGCACCCACCCCAGGCAGTAATTCCACTCCCGGATTGAGGCCTGTCCCCGGAAAACCGCCAGGAGTCGACCCCTTGGGTTAGTGAGAAAAAAGTTTCTCAACATATTTATGCTTCCTGTTTTTAAAGAAATCAAAGCAATTTAAAGAGTGTAATACATTAAGAGTACTAATGACCAGCATTGACTGGCTGTAAGTTCTGTAAGCCAAATCAAGCACCTGGCACTTACCATGTCTGACACATAGTAGGTGTTCAGTAAAATAAGGGGAAGACAACCCTGATGAAGGCTTGAGTGACTTTTGAGAATATTAAAATACGCGTATTTGAACTATAGATCCTACTTTTTAACATACGTAAGAATGTGTTGCTCCTGATACTCATTATACTTCATTATTGTCTCACGTGTGTATCATTGGTTTTTCTCCTTCCTTCCATTTGGGTCTGTAGCCTCGAGCCTAAGGACCCCAATGGCAGTACCTTGTCCATATCCGACCCCCTTTGGGATCGTGCCACACGCTGGGATGAATGGGGAGCTGACCAGCCCCGGAGCTGCCTACGCGGGGCTGCACAACATCTCCCCGCAGATGAGCGCCGCCGCGGCCGCTGCAGCCGCGGCCGCGGCCTACGGGAGATCGCCAGTGGTATGTTGGTGCGCTTTTACAGCATAAAAGTGTTCCAGAGCGCAGAGGGTTGCCACACGTATTTTTATTTTTTTTAAGGAAGTTTATGAAATTTGAGGGATTTATAGAGGGACCTGTGTGTATTTATAAACTAAATTGCATGTAATCATATTGTGAGATTCATTTTCTTTTGTAATGGGAGGGAATTCTTTTGTTTTATGTTCCTTTTTTAAAAGAAATTTTTAAACCTACAGAAGTAGAGTAAATAATATAGTAAATATAGTGAACCCTTCATTTCCATCATGAGCTTCAATGATAATACTGTTTCTTTCATGTTTTTTCCACCCCCAAGCATGTTACCATGAAATCACGAACATCCTATCATTTCATCAGTCAGTACTTGTGTATTTATCTCTAAAATCACATTTTTAAAGCATCTATTCTCCTAGGATTTGGAAAGATACTGAGTAGGATGAAATGAGTTGATGTAACCATGTTTGTTTTTGTTGTCTTGCTTGGGAAAAATTTTAGGTTGGATTTGACCCACACCATCACATGCGTGTGCCAGCAATACCTCCAAACCTGACAGGCATTCCAGGAGGAAAACCGTGAGTACCCGCCTCTGTGCTTTGTGCTCACTGTGTGTCTGGGCCCTCGCTGGCCCTTTGGACTCTGAGCACTGCTAGACAGTGTTGGCAAGTTCCTGCGGCTTGTGGGGTGGTTTTGTTTTTGTTTTTGTTTTTTGCACAGTATGTTCCATTTTCTCTTAGCACAAGGGAAGAGGTAATGAGGTGGGGTTTTGTATTTTCAATTTAAAATCTCAAGCTTCTAATATGGAAATGCAAATTGCTGAGGCCTCTCCAGCAGTCAGGTCTTCTCTACATCTGTTACTGATTGCAAGGCAATTCTTTTTGTTGCCTTGGAAAGAAGAAGTCATCTTATGTGCAAACCTAGATACTCAAAATTTGAGCATGTTAGGAAAAGACGTGCCAAACTTCAGAGGCTGAAAGGAAAGAAGTGTGGTCTTACGCTCATTTGTGTTTCTGGAAAAGGTGGCTTGCTCAGTTGGCTTCTTGTCCTGTAAGCTGGGTATTTGGAGCCTCTGTTTTCATGACCCCCTAGAGCTATGAAGGCAGGACAGGCACATCTGTTGTTCCAGACTCTTCTTGTACGTTCTGACCTCTCCCCATATGTCAGTCCTCATCATTCATTTTAATCCCGTGCACTTCATTACTACCTGTGCACAGTTCTCTGGGCTCTTTGGCTTCATCTTCACAATTGGTGCTCACAGCTTATGCTTGTTCAGTGAATGAATGAAGACGTGTGCCGGTCTCTCCCTTCACTGACCTCCCATTGCTTATTTATTCACTGCTATACACTCAGGCACTTAGTTGTCACCCTGTTGTTTCCTGTGTGTCTTCTTTGTTCCCCATGTTGCTGGCTCCACAGTATTAAACATGCCTGACCTTGACCCTTCCTTCACTTTCCACCTGATAGATCATGTTCTTGGCCCTTCCTTCTGCAACTTCTCTACACACTCTACCCTAAACTTCCATGTTGCATCAAACACAGTGTGGGCTCAGTAAGTATTTGACTGATTAATAAGGGAGGCAAGGCAAATTAGACTTTGAGTTCCTTGAGAGTTGAAGGTATAAATATCAATTACCGTAAAATTCTGTGTACTTGTGTGTGTTCTGCAAATAGTTGTTGACTGACAAGTCTTGTTGACCAAGAACCCTGGTGTACTTGAAGGTAAAAGTTAGGTCTGTTTCAAGCAGTGACTAAATAACAAGGCCATAGGATTAATCAAATAAACTGAATACCTACAAGTATCATGAACCTGTGGGGATGGAGAGGTTCCTGGAGGGAAGTGGTATCATCCCGTTTTCAGGTACTGTAGAGTTACCACTTAGTTAACCAGCAGTTGCACCCAGAACTGTCGTGTAACCACTACCAGATGAGGTGGTGCTTCTCGTCTCTGCTGCTGCCCAGAGGCCCCGAGGGGTGAAAGTGTGTTAAGTGTATCTAAAGAAGCAATAACAGTCTCAGTGTGGGGATTTGGGCCAGTTGAACCACTGTAAAATCCCAGCTGGTCTGATTCAAGAGGCACTTCTGAGCCTTGAGCTGGGCTCCCTTCCTTCCCCCAGTCTCGACACATAGCTTTATAAAATTGTTGAGATCCTTTTGGGAGGAACGTTGATGGGTTTCAGGATGGCTGAGAATTTTTTTTTTTTAATTTTATTAATTTTTTTATACAGCAGGTTCTTATTAGTCATCCATTTTATACACATCAGTGTATACATGTCATTCCCAGTCTCCCAATTCATCACACCACCACCACCACCCACCACCACTTTCCCCACTTGGTGTCCATACGTTTGTTCTCTACATCTGTGTCTCTGTTTCTGCCCTGCACACTGGTTCATCTGTACCATTTTTCTAGGTTCTACGTGTATGCGTTAATATATTTGTTTTTCACTTTCTGACTTACTTCACTCTGCATGACAGTCTCTACATCCATCCACATCTCTGCAAAGGACCCAATTTCGTTCCTTTTTATGGCCAAGTAATATTCCATTGTTATATATGTACCACATTTTCTTTATCCATTTGTCTGTTGATGGGCATTTAGCTTGCTTCCATGACCTGGCTATTGTAAATAGAGCTGCAATGAACATTCTGGTACATGACTCTTTTTGAATTATGGTTTTCTCTCCGTATAAGCCCAGTAGTGGGATTGCTGGGTCGTATGGTAGTTCTGTTTTTAGTCTTTTAAGGAACCTCCATACTGAGCTCCATAGTGGCTGTTATCAATTGACGTTCCCACCCACCGGGAAAGAGGGTTCCCTTTTCTCCACACCCTCTCCGGCACTTGTTGTTTGTAGATTTTCTGATGATGCCCATTCTAACTGGTGTGAGGTGATACCTCATTGTAATGTTGATCTGCATTTCTCTAATAATTAGTGATGTTGAACAGCTTTTCATGTGCTTCTTGGCCATCTGTGTGTCTTCTTTGGAGAAATGTCTGTTTCGGTTTTCTGCCCATTTTTTGACTGGGTTGTTTGTTTTTTTAATATTGAGCTGCATGAGCTGTTTATATATTTTGGAGATTAATCCTTTGTCTGTTGATTCGTTTGCAAGTATTTCCTCCCATTCTGAGGGTCGTCTATTTCATCTTGTTTGTGGTTTCCTTTGCTGTGCAAACGTTTTTAAGTTTCGTTAGGTCCCATTTGTTTGTTTTTATTTCCATTACTCTAGGAGGTGGATGAAAAAGGATCTTGCTGTGATTTATGTCAAAGAGTGTTCTTCCTATGTTTTCCTCTAAGAGTTTTACAGTGACCGGTCTTACATTTAAGTCTCTAATCCATTTTGAGTTTATTTTTGTGTATGGTGTTAGGGAGTGTTCTAATTTCATTCTTTTACATGTAGCTGTCCGGTTTTCGCAGCACCACTTATTGAAGAGGCTGTCTTTGCTCCATTGTATATTCTTGCCTCCTTTTTCAAAAATAAGGTGACCATATGTGCATGGGTTTATCTCTGGGCTTTCTATCGTGTTCTGTTGATCTATATTTCTGTTTTTGTGCCAGTACCATATTGTCTTCATTACTGTAGCTTTGTAGTACAGTCTGAAGTCAGGGAGTCGGATTTCTCCAGCTACGTTTTGTTCCCTCAAGACTGCTCTGGCTATTCAGGGTCTTTCGTGTCTCGATACAGAGTTTACGATTTCTTTGTTCTAGTTCTGTAAAAAATGCCATTGGTAATTTGATAGGGATTGCATTGAGTATGTAGATTGCTTTGTGTAGTATAGTCATTTTCACAGTATTGATCCTTCCAATCCAGGAACAGGTATATCTCTCCATCTGTTGGTATCATCTTTAATTTCTTTCATCAGTGTCTTATAGTTTTCTGCATACAGATCCTTTGTCTCCCTAGGTAGGTTTATTCCTAGTATTTTATTATTTTTGTTGCAATGGTAAATGGGAGTGTTTCCATAATTTCTCTTTCCGATTCTTCATTGTTAGTGTATAGGAATGCAAGAGATTTCTGTGCATTAATTTTGTATCCTGCAACTTTACCAGATTCATTGATTAGCTCTAGTAGTTTTCTGGTGGCATCTTTAGGATTCTGTATGTATAGTATCATGTCATCTGCAAACAGTGACTGTTTTACTTCTTTTTTTCCAATTTGTCCTTTTATTTCTTTTTCTTCTCTGATTGCCACGGCTAGGACTTCCAAGACTGTGTTGAATAATAGTGGCGAGAGTGGACATCCTTGTCTTGTTCCAGATCTTAGAGGAAATGCTTTCAGTTTT